CAAAAATCATTGCATTGCTGCACTATGAATTGATTGATCGAATTGAATCACAGCTTTAACTGATTTTGTAGAGGGGAATGTTAGCAACTCTAACATTTTTTTTTTTTTTTGTACAGAAGTTTAAATGAGAGATGCTGTTAAAACAGCTTTGTCTTAATGCTGTCATAAACCCCCATCATGAAACTAGCCTAATGACAGTTTTTTGGAAGTGTAATGAGCACATTAACGTGCTCTATGCTACGATGCTTGTTGAATGCTTGAATCTGATTGCTTGACGAACGTTTGGCTAAAGTAGTTTCAGGCAGGTCTGAAACTACATTACAGCTCCATATCACTTCACCAAATGATTTCAGTAATTTCAAATGTCCTTACAGCATACAACAGCAAAATAGCCAAAACCCACAAATCAATGAAACTGACCAAGCAAATTATTTCCTTCTTTTTTTTTTTTGCCACAAAATTACGTTTAATTACGCAAAGCACAGTGTCTATCTTCCACTCTCTCTCCCACTCAAATGCAAACACATACACTATGGACACACATTCGCACAGAAATGTGTTATCAACGCTGCTCTGATGATTTTAAATTTGTTTAATAACTTAAAAGCTATATCAATTTCTCTTTAGCGAGGTGGTAATGGCCCTGTTCTTGGAGCAGATAAACGTTTCGCTATTAGTAGAGACGCTGCTGTTGAACAACACTGTTGAGAGAGACGCACAGACTCAAGTAATTCACATAGGCTAAATCTCTCTCTCTCTCTCTCTCTCTCTCTCTCTCTCTCTCTCTCTCTCTCTCTCTCTCTCTCTCTCTCTCTCTCTCTCTCTCTCTCTCTCTCTCTCTATCAGTGGCTGAAGCCTCGGTTACTAGCTCTAAAATGATGTTTTGGAATTAGCAACGGAGGTTTGGGATTAGAGGCGTAAGAAATTAGTCATACACAAGAGCATTTTAAGGACAGGGTTAGACCTAAACCTGACAAATGTCTTGAAATACATCATCTGAACAATGTTTTGAGGTGTGGTAACCGTAGTATAAGCAGAATAATTGACTCCGGGCCGTTGAATTATTAGAAAAATAATGCACACCCGAGGTACATTACCACCTTGGGTGTGCTTTTTTTTTTTTTTTTAATTCAACAGCCCGGAGTTAATTATTCCTTACTTAAAATAATAACGATCCCAGTGTTGCTTTATTTTACATTGGTGCAGTGCTGTTACCAAACCACTGTGAGTATTTTGCTGTGTGAACAAGCAGGAACCAGGGCAGTGAATGGAAAGCCCTGTGGGCACAGTAGTCTTCAGGGTTAGGGAGGAGAGAGAGGAGATAAGACAGACTGCATTTCCCAGGAGGCTGTGCTATCTGTAGCAGTCAGCCAGACAGTTAGAATGGGTCATTCAGTTTATTCAGACACATGCTGACAAAGGCAAAAACATACACACTCACATAAAAGCGCTGTTCAAACAAACCCACTCTGTTTCATACATTTCCCTAGTCGCACACCAACAAGCCTTCCGGTGTTGGGTTAAGCTCTGGCCTTAAATAGGAAAAAATAATTCTGTCAGTCTCAAATCCAATATGGCTCCCATAGATGAGGACTGGGCCTCAATTTGCAGAGCCACAATGGCCATGTGCTGATGAAGAGATATCTAAAATGAGATTCACAGTAGTCTTTTTCCCATTTCTTCAGAGAGGGCTATGCAATAGCAGAGTCCAGCAAGAGACATGCCATTCACTCTTATGATTATAGATAGGGTTCAGGCAACAATGGGCTGCAGACACAGATTTGAGGTGTCGGAGAGAGTGAAAAGGTCTTCATATATCTTCTTTTAAACACTAAAAATTACTCAAAAGACTGTGAAGAATGGGAGTGAGAGAAATCAGTCTGGCTGCTATTGATTTGTAGTTGGGTTCCCAGACATGTAGAGATGTATAATTTATGGCACTGTCTTGAGAATGCTGTGTGAACTTGATTTTCAGTGAGCTTCAGTTTTGGTTAACAATGTGACCAATGGAGATTAAGAAACAAGGAACTCCATAATAGTTTGACTCTCTAAGTCAAGATATTGAGCAGCACAACTGTTTTCAACATTGATAATAATAAGTAATGTTTCTTGAGCACCAAATTAGCATATTAGAAAGATTTCTGAAGTATCGTGTGACTCTGAAGACTGGATTAATGGCTGCTGAAAAATCAGTTTTGCCTTCACAGGAATAAATTACATTTGTAAAGATATTACATTGGAAAATTCTTATTTAAAATTGCAAAAACATTTCACTATTACTGTTTTTTTTTTCCTTTATCAAAGAGCCTTGGTTTCAAATATACACTCACCTAAAGGATTATTAGGAACACCATACTAATACTGTGTTTGACCCCCTTTCGCCTTCAGAACTGCCTTAATTCTACGTGGCATTGATTCAACAAGGTGCTAAAAGCATTCTTTAGAAATGTTGGCCCATATTGATAGGATAGCATATTGCAGTTGATGGAGATTTGTGGGATGCACATCCAGGGCACAAAGCTCCCGTTCCACCACATCCCAAAGATGCTCTATTGGACTGAGATCTGGTGACTGTGGGGGCCATTTTAGTACAATGAACTCAATGTCATGTTCAAGAAACCAATTTGAAATGATTCTAGCTTTGTGACATGGTGCATTATCCTGCTGGAAGTAGCCATCAGAGGAGGGGTACATGGTGGCCAGAAAGGGATGGACATGGTCAGAAACAATGCTCAGGTAGGCCGTGGCATTTAAACGATGCCCAATTGGCACTAAGGGCCCTAAAGTGTGCCAAGAAAACATCCCCCCACCACCACCACCACCAGCCTGCACAGTGGTAACAAGGCATGATGGATCCATGTTCTCATTCTGTTTACGCCAAATTCTGACTCTACCATCTGAATGTCTCAACAGAAATCGAGACTCATCAGACCAGGCAACATTTTTCCAGTCTTCAACTGTCCAATTTTGGTGAGCTCTTGCAAATTGTAGCCTCTTTTTCCTATTTGTAGTGGAGATGAGTGGTACCCGGTGGGGTCTTCTGCTGTTGTAGCCCATCTGCCTCAAGGTCGTGCGTGTTGTGGCTTCACAAATGCTTTGCTGCATACCTTGGTTGTAACGAGTGGTTATTCAGTCAAAGTTGCTCTTTTATCAGCTTGAATCAGTCGGCCCATTCTCCTCTGACCTCTAGCATCAACAAGGCATTTTCGCCCACAGGACTGCCGCATACTGGATGTTTTTCCCTTTTCACGCCATTCTTTGTAAACCCTAGAAATGGTTGTGCGTGAAAATCCCAGTAACTGAGCAGATTGTGAAATACTCAGACTGGCCCGTCTGGCACCAGCAACCATGCCACGCTCAAAATTGCTTAAATCACCTTTCTTTCCCATTCTGACATTCAGTTTGGAGTTCAGGAGATTGTCTTGACCAGGACCACACCCCTAAATGCATTGAAACAACTGCCATGTGATTGGTTGATTAGATAATTGCATTAATGAGAAATTGAACAGGTGTTCCTAATAATCCTTTAGGTGAGTGTACTTTACAGACTCCCAAACTTTTTTTTACGGTTTTGTATGCTGGGATGATATTGATAATTGATCAATTTTGTGTGAAAATGTGTCACTGTATTGTGTTTTAACTGTTGGAACACTATTAACTAGTGTTGAAATGGATTGCAAAACTCACGGTTCGGATCATATAACGGTTTTTGAGTCACGGATCAAGTTATTTTTCAGATCAGCAAAAAAACAAAACATTAAAAACAAGTGAACAGTCAGTAATAAATAAATACAATATAACAAAGTTACAAATAAAGTAATGTCTAACAGTAGTATTTAGTACAGAAATGTAATAATTAAATGTAAAATATGAATTTTACATTCAATGAATTATGAATTAAATATAGATTAATGTTTGTTATTACACGGCTATGTGGAATACTTGATTCTGATTGGTCAATTGCGCCATCCAGCGGGATGTTTTCCCCTATAACAACTGGTAAAAACTGAAGTGCTTTACGCTTTAAGAACGTTTTGCTACGATACTGTATCGCATCCCTTAAATGTCCGTCTAGTTTGAACTTGCCGCTTGCTAGCAACTGCTTTCTTCGCGGAAGTATTGCGTTTGGTCACCTAATGAAATATTAAAACTCAAATCAATATTTTGTGTACAATTTTTTATGTCATCTGGGTATTGCTGACTTGTTTTATACAAATGCAGTTGCTGCCATTTTGCAGCGATTGTTTTGTACACGGTGATGGATTATAAGATAACAAATCAGTGTATCTTTCGTGTCTAATTATTTACTTATATGGCAAGTAGCCGTGTTATAAGGGGATAATGTACATCCAACCGGTTGTTATTGCAGAATTAACCCCTTCAGAGTGATGCAAGACTTGAATACCCTGTCGGGGTTTATTCTGTGATCCGGTTGGATGTACATTATCTTTTACTTAAAGCTGTGTTTTGTTGTTTGATTAACAATGACAGACAGAAGCAGGTATTTAAAGGCTGCGGTCACTTTAAGACCTAATGCACGGATTCAATATAACAAATACTTGACATAATTTTGTATACGTATCTATTCAAGCATAAGGAGATGCGAAAGAGGAATCAATTTGGCGATCGCGTGCTACTGTAATTGAAGCTCAGCACTCGGGTGCGTGCGGCTGTGCACACAGATAAAAGCGCACGAGTACCGAATTGAGTTCTCTTTTCCCTCTTCTTGCGCTTGAATGGCTTAAAATCACTTAAATGTGTAAATTAGCAAGACAAAACATGTGCAAATGATATATTGTCACTATGATTGTTAAACTTTGAAATTAATCTGCAAATTACTTGCGTACCGAACCGTAGGGCCTGGTCCATATGGATCATGGTTCAACTATGATCCTTTAAACCCCTACTATTAACCAATCAGCATCCAGGAGCTAAATTGCTTTTTAACATTAGTTCATATTTCATCCTTAAACATCTCTCTTTGTTGCTTCCTCTCGTAGGTCGGCAGACATGTCCACCAGAGAAGTTTGACTGTGGTGGCTCAACAAGCAAGTGTGTGTCTTTGTCATGGCGCTGTGATGGTGAAAGGGACTGTGAAAATGGAGCAGATGAGGAGCAGTGTGCTGCAGGTAAGTCCTGGGAGGGAGAGAAAAAGGAGGAGAAAATTGCTAAAAATAGCTCCTGTCTGGATAATGCATAGTCAGACCTTAGTGTGGTATGTGTGTGAACTTAATGGAGTGGAGTGATGGTAGTGATGTGTGAGTGAAGTACAGAAGCTAACAGATGTTTGATGTTATCGTAGGTGACGGTCTTTTCATTATGTCCTCCTGATGTTTAGGATAGATATTACAGAATGCTCTGGATCTTAAAAAAGGAGCCCCAATTTTTAGTTTCAGACCCCCAATAGTTGGTTCTTGCATTGATAGATTAGCACAGTGGGTGGGAGTGAGTATTATATGTGTTATGGCTATAAGTCAAATAGCAAAATAGCAATTCTGCTTACACACGCACTTTCAATCTCTTCCTTCCACACACACACACACACACACACGCACGCACACACACACACACACACACACACACACACACACACAATAATCTGGCTGCCAAATACAGGTATTTCAATTTAATATTATATTATAATAAACAAATATTGATTTTGATTTGCTCTTTGCCATGCAACCTATACAAGCATTGATTCTCCAACTGCCTCTTTTATGGAGAGATTATGTATTATACATTTGGCCTTTTAAAGTCCTTCAGGATCTTTATTATTATAACGAACTACTGATGCACATCTGAAAGGGTCATAGATAAAAGTTAACTCAGCATTTTAACTCTGTTTCCACTGTGATAAATCTACTGAGAATTTGCTGGCTTGTTTTTAGTATGGTTATGTTTCCTGTACCCCCCCCATCCCCCCCCCCCCCCCATTTGATTAATGTGATTGTTTATATGTGTGTGGCGAGCAGAGAGATATAGTGAGTGTGTAGAGGATTTGGGTATTCTTTCATGAAGTGTACACACAGACATACTTTTTTGTTTGTTTGCACACTGATATGTTTTTAAGGTAAATTGTGGAGAAACGTTGGAGTGAGACGTTTTTAATGACAAATGTATTTATAAATGTTTTTAATGCACCTGTTTTTTGACATTTTTATATGGAAGAATTTAATATCCATCAAAGTCACATAGGACAGAGTGATCAGTTTTGATTTGAAATTAAGCTTTTAGTTGGACTCATTTAACAATGCTAAACATTTTAAATTATATGAATGTTTATAAATACAATTAAATCAATTTATTAATTGCAACTGAATGTTGCATAATCCTAAAGAGAATATTCTTGAAGATTTTGCATCTCTAAATTAGTTAGTCATTAGAAGCTGTCCCTATGTTGTTTTATTGTCAGTTTATTGTTAGTTCAAATGTAAAAATTGCGTGTGTGCCACTTCACTAGAGGTGAATGGCCGATAACCGATTGATCAACCAACATTAATCAATCAATATTTTTTTTTTAAATGGATAGTTGAATGAAAACAAACATAACAAATAAAATAGTGCTGAACTTTATTGCAAAAATCAGAAAACTGTACTGAACCATAAAAATGTACTGTATTAAAAATATTAATTTGAGGATGGGAAGTTCGGACTGGACTTGATCCGAAGCAAGTATGCCCGAATCAAAGCTGTTCGGACCAATCAAATTGTCAGGGCGGGCTTTATACGATGATGGACAGATGATCAACAGTAATGTAATGTAATCATCCACGTCACCAAAGAGCGCTTGGGTTGAATTCGTTTACAACAAAGAATGGCTGCCGCTGGATAATTTAGATGTGTAGATTCAGCCATCGCGTCTGTTATAGAGGATCTATTCAGCGCATTACATTCATTTTAAAAGAGGAACAGAGAACCGCAATCAAGGCATTTGTCGATCGGAAAGATGTTTTGCCGTCCTTCCTACGGGATTCGGTCTATCCAATTGAGTGCAGAGGCATTTTTTTTTCCTGGTTCGGTTGAAACACAAAACAAACTCCACGAGGCGTCAGCGATAGCTTTTATTTAGCCTCTAGAGGCCGCTCTCATACTGGACACCCTTCTCAGCCGGCAAATTGGCAAAACGATTAATCGGCAAAACCGATCAATCGGTTGACCCCTACACTTCACAATTTAAAACCTAAATATACTGATGAGATCACACTGGTTGATCATAAAGAGGATGTAAAGAGATTATTGTGTTTCTTTGTTGACCATTATCCTTTAATGTCTTGTCTAAAAATACATATTTAACAATTTAATCGCCTTGTTGTTCATAATATGTAATTGTCACACCTTTTATCCAGCCTAGACGCGTGTGCTTATCATATTCTCCAAACACAGCCGTGTAAAGTCTCTTGTCTTTGTGTCACTATAGGCTTACGCTTTCTCTTATACTTAATCATGTAATAATGAATTACAGGACACGTCTTTCAACCCTAGCTCGAGCTTATATGGTTTTTCATTTTCTAACCATTACCACTATGATTAGCACCATGACAGCGTTTGTTTATCTCTGTGGATTTATAGCTGTGATTTGCGTGTGGCACGGTCCTGTGCTGAACTGGAAAATAAGAGCATTAACATCACTGTAATATTTCACTGCGTTGCTGATTATAATTGATTTCCTGCTTGATGTCTGGTCCTGAGACTTCTATTTTTTTATTATAGAATAACCTGCAGGACTGTTCCTTTTGATTTATAATTGAAGGTATTAAGACACGGTCTATGAATACATATTACTCTTAATCCTGTACAGCCCATAACTTCTAAAGAATCATGTTCCCACAAAAATCACATTTCAAATCCTTTTCAAAGCAGTCACCTCCACATGAACCCGAAGCTCATCAGTCAGGTGTGGCAGAACAGGGATGATTGTAGCACTTTTGGGGTTTATGAAACATGTTTAGCCTAAACCGTGGCAATTTTGCATCACCAGTCTTTAAAGGTCCAGTGTGTGATTTTTAGCGACATCTAGCGGTTCGGTTGCGAGTTTACACTAAGGGCTCAGCCCACCGCTCACCCCTCCCTTTCGAAGAAGCTACGGTGGCTAAAACGGGACAAACATCGTCATCTGAGACAGCAGAGAATAGCCAGCGTAAACCAAGTTTCTGTACCACAGTCCATTATAAACCACATCATGGGTAAAGTTTCAGGTGAGGATCAAGGGTCTTAATACATAATATAATAATAGTAATCAGCTGATTGTCTCACGAACGCAACCAGCACAGTCTCCCCACATAACAACCCATAATACAGCGAGGGAGAAGAACCACATGAAACTATGCAACTATATATTTTTTCTAACAGGGTAGTAAAAGTTTAGCTGGCTAATATGAGCTGTTACTGTGGCTGAGCTGGTTAAAGCGTAAAGCCTTGTTTAAACTCGACGCGTCCGCATGAGCCCAAAGGTGCGCGCGGCAAAAATGACGTGATTGTAACAGCGCGCGCGCCTCCGCATCCCCTAGACACCACTTACTACACACACAATAGGCTTTTTTTCTCTGATTTTGGAAACTCGATCGACTTAAAATGCTTCCAAGATCGACGGGTTGGTGATTCCTGTAACTGTTTTACGGTCAATGACAAGAGTAGCCTACTAATCAGCTGTCTCACGAACTTAACCAGCACATTTATCCCCACATAGCAAAGCCATAACACAGCGAGGGAGAAGAATTAAGTAACATGAAACAATCCAACTACATATTTACACCACTGACAAGGGAAAAGTCACTACTCACGGTGTTTATGACTAGCTTCTTCTAGCTTCCTGCGGCTTCTCTTTCAAGGTAGTGACGAAACGCGCTCTGTAGCGTTGTTTGTTCGCGTTCGGCTAGTGTAGAAACATGACGTCACAATATGGCGACCTTCATAGAAGGGGATTCCCGCGCCTATGTAGATATAAATGCCTCATTCTAAGGTAATAAAAACATTACGGTTTATTAAGTAAGTTCTTTATACACCACTGAACACATAGTTATGGATGTCATATTGCATTTCTGTTAATAGATACTCAAAAATGTTACACACTGCACCTTTAAAATTATGTATTTGATTCATTGTAAATGCATAGACTAGCATTTTTTTTATTATTATCACAGCTGAAAACTGTTGTTCTGCTTAATATTTTTGTGGAAATATATGTGGAAAAACAATTATTTTCAACTTTTATTCTAACCCTCTGTCTGAAATTATTTGTTTTTAATGGGCTTAAAGGTAAATAATGTTTGTAAAGGGTTGTATGTAAACAGCCACTGTTAATGTCATTGCATAGGAAATAGTATCAACGGACACTCGCTATTGCACGTGAAGAAAGTGTTTTGAAAACATTATCCATATAAACCCTTAATTTACAGACAAAGCATTATAAAATCATTTACTTACGGTTTGTGATGCAGCTGCTGTCAGATCCAATACAGTTGACTGCTTCATCTTTCAACAAAAGTTTATTTTTCTACATTACACTGTCCCTCCCTCGTTTCCAAAACAAAATGCTCTGAACAAACATAATCCTCTGATGCTATCCAGGATGCCATTAAAATTAACCATCCACTTGTTTCCGACGCTAAGATGCTTCTGAAGTCTGTACAGAGACGCAAACGAGCTGTTTAAACTGGATGTGTCAAAGTAAACGTTCTTTTAAAATCTATTTATATATACAGGTCCTTCTCAAAAAATTAGCATATTGTGATAAAGTTCATTATTTTCCATAATGTAATGATAATAATTAAACTTTCATATATTTTAGATTCATTGCACACCAACTGAAATATTTCAGGTCTTTTATTGTTTTAATACTGATGATTTTGGCATACAGCTCATGAAAACCCAAAATTCCTGTCTCAAAAAATTAGCATATTTCATCCGACCAATAAAAGAAGTGTTTTTAATACAAAAAAAGTCAACCTTCAAATAATTATGTTCAGTTATGCACTCAATAGTCAATACTTGGTCAGGAATCCTTTTGCAGAAATGACTGCTTCAATGCGGCGTGGCATGGAGGCAATCAGCCTGTGGCACTGCTGAGGTGTTATGGAGGCCCAGGGTGCTTCGATAGCGGCCTTAAGCTCATCCAGAGTGTTGGGTCTTG